GATTCCTCATCTTACCCCTTATTCTTATTTTTAAGTTTATTCAGAAGTAGGGGAGGTGGGTTTGCTTCTCATCCTGACTTTCCATGTTTGTTGTCGCGTTTTTATTTTTATTTTTTTTTTATTTTGCACCCCAGAGACACCATGATTCCTGGTAACCGAATGCTGATGGTCATCCTATTATGCCAAATCCTGCTAGGAGGTACTAACCATGCTAGCCTGATACCGGAGACCGGCAGGAAGAAAATCGCAGAACTTCAAGGGGGACAAGCCGGATCCGGAGGCAGATCTGCCAAAAGCCATGAACTCTTGCGGGGTTTCGAAACGACTCTGCTCGCGATGTATAGGGCCTCAGCCCAGCAAGTCAGCCGTCATTCCTAGTTACATGCTGGATCTCTATCGGCTCCAGTCCGGAGAAGAGGAGGAAAGCCTCCAGGAGATTAGCCTGCAGTACCCCGAGCGATCGACCAGCCGGGCAAACACCGTGAGGAGTTTTCACCATGAAGGTCAGTGATGGGAAGGAGGGAAATTCCCAGCCTGGGGAACGATCGGGATTTCCTTGCGTTCGGAAGCTCCAAAATGCGTTTCGAAGCGGGACATGCTCTAAATTTATGGGAGGAAAACCGCTTCCCCCCCCACCCCCCAGCCTTCTGCGTGTGGGTGACAGGCGTGCTGCTCTGTATTTTTTTCTAGCATCCTGTGCTTAAGCCGAGCTTGACCGTATTTTGAGGTGCTTTCGCTTCTGTTGACGGCTTTCGTTCGGTGCCTCTGCCACGGGGTCACTCCTCGGGCTCGCGTGGGTTTAGTGGCTCTGGATCGGATGCGGGAGTAAAGTGAGGGCGGGATCTCACCCCTGGTGTGTTTCTTTTGAACTATCAAAGCGCTTGCTGCCTGGTTTTGCCCTTAAGAAAATTAAAAAAAAAATCCCCCAAAAACCCCAACTCGAATTTAATACTTACAGCTGTGTGTTTATAAGGTTTATTCAATAGGCCCTTGTAATCTGATCCAAATGTTTCCTAGCGGATGTTGCTTTTCCAAAGTAAATCTCAATTATTAATCCAGCCGCATCATTACTCCGTTGGAATTCTCTTCCCTTTCTCCCCCTGCCCCCCGCGCCCCGTAACAAGGCACCTCTGTGCTCCGCCGCTCCGCGCCTCGCTGGGGAGATCATTTTGGAGGGATTGGGGAGGAGGGAGGAGGGGGGAAAGCGAAAGGGGGAAAGGGGAAGCGGGACAGGGGGATCGACGGGGTCTGGGCGTGGAGGGCGAGCGAGCAGCACCAGGTCCAGCCGGGAGGGATGCACGGGGGAGCTGAGTGGTGCCGGCGGCCGCCGCGCAGGTGAGGTGTGGGTGAGCGTTGTGGCTGGCTGCCTTGAGGATGACGCGCTTTTGGTTTTCTTTCTTTTTTTTTTCTTTTTCTTTCTTTCTTTTATTTTTTGTCCCACTTCCCTTCCTTACCCCCTGCTCCCCTCCAGAGCACCTGGAGAGCGTCCCGGGTCCCAGCGAGGTGCCCCGGATCCGCTTCGTCTTCAACCTCAGCAGCGTGCCGGAGAACGAAGTGATCTCCTCGGCGGAGCTGCG